TTTTTTTTTTTTTTTCCTGAAAAGGATTGCCAATAACATCTCTGAATTTTTATAGTTCAATTTGTTTAAAATTTTCACTAAGTTTTTAGTTTATTTTTCAGTAAAAGCCGCTAATAACTTTCTGTAAAGGAAAAAATGTTAAACATTTTTACTTTCTGACATCAATAAATATGTTAACACGTTATATATCTTTTATTGTCTCACTCTTTCATTAAATGAAATAAAACATAAATAACATAACATTAATATAACAGTGAATGTTAGTACGCTAACAAAAATTGGATCTACCAAAAGTCATAAGTTACTACAACCATTTTCCTCTATATTTATTAATTCTCTTTATCTATCTTAATATTGCATATCGCCGACTAATTATATATATATTTATATATATATCCAAAGTAATTTTCCTCTAACAACAAAGATGGAAACTAAAAACTCAACAATCAGATCGAAGATTACTAAATTAGGGGGGAAAATAGAAAAAAAGGAAGGAAATGAATTGATGAATAGCAGCCAGGTTGTGGCCAACTTGGGAACACTGATGCTGAGTTGAAAACTCCACCATTTGATTTTGATGTGTGCAAGTTTGTGGTCCAATTATTCCCGCATAAAACACGTACGTGGGTCTTCCCCGTTCCGATCCTTTGAATTATGTCTCTCATTGCTTCGATGCGTCTCTATGATGATATCTACAATGTAAGTGAAGCAATTTTACAAGAGGCAACATTGCTGGTTATCTTACTAACAGACTGAAGAATGAATATCCCAACTCGTTCCACTAAGCATTGCATGAATACCAAACATACTCATAAAGCACCGACCAACCAATACAAATCCTTAACATGATTATGTTATGGGTATATATATATGCAGTACAATTGATTTCATTCTATTTAAGCTTGTGAAAGACCTTGTTAACAATTACATTGCCAATATCCATGGCCCACTAACTATTCAATCTTCTAAGGTTGTTATATATAGATATTAATTGCTTGTGGTGAACTCCATGGAAACAGATGAATAACACACTCAACCTTTTTTTTTATTATTTTTTTTTGGGAATTAACATAAAGTTTTAGTTTCCACTTATGTGAGCAAAAATAGGCACTGTGCGATAACAAAAATAAGAATAAAAAACAAAAAATAACACCAAAACTTTTATGTGAAAACCTTTTTTATATGAGCAAAGAAAAATCATGAAACCTAATCTAATAAAAGATCTTTATTATGAAAGTAGTATTACAAATAATTTTTATTTTTTAAGAGAATCACTAAAAAATAATCACATCCTCTTAGATGATTATTTCTCAATTGTCCGGGTGTCATGAAAACAACTTTATTTCTATCAAAGAGGAATATAAAAATTTTCTCACTCTAATTGTCTCTTTCTTACTTTAGAATAAATTGAAAGAAATTCACCTCTCTTTATAGATGGTGACTCTTTTTTGATGATAATCTCTTCTAATCGGTGATTACTGTCATCATAAATCTCTCTATTTATAAGAATTGAAATGATATTTATTCATAATTCGTCTCCTCGTTCAAGACTCTTTATTCGGTGCTTCATCTATTTAAATTTTTTTTTTTTTAACATTTTTAATGTGCAAACACATCAACATCACCAAATATATATGTGCTGCCAGAATTCATGGCTTCTCATGACAAATTGCAACTTCTAGTTCAAAATTGAAAGGATGTTGTCAAGCCTGGCCTAAAATATCGGGCTTATTCACAACATGGTTTAGCCCTATCAATTAAACTTAATATCTTATGTTGAGATACAGCGGCATGAACTGTTGTGAAAAATTGTAGAGTCTACCAATTTTGTATTTATTTTCATTTCTTGGCTGTCATTGTTCATTTCTTGCTGTACCCAAGAGACTGATTTCAGAGTACTTTTCGGAAAAATCATTATGTTATCTAGACAATTAAATAGACAAGGAATTTAGGTTCATAGAAGTAGATTAACGAGAAATAAAATGAATAACTTAGTTATACAGTTATAAATGGAGTTCGGTAGAATTTATATAAATACCTTTTTCTACACCAACCCCTTAGTTATACTGGTCTAGTTTGGAAGATCATATATAAATATCTAATGATAGTTCTATAAGATATTCTTAGCATATATTTGAAAGTTCTTCAACGTAGTTTATAAGAATAAATTGTGTAGAGTTTGTAAATGATTTTGTTTTTGTTTTTTTTTTTTTTTTATATTCTGACAAGACCAAATGTAAATAATATGGCTTTTTTTTTTCATTCTCCATTTTACTTTTTTTTTTATTATTATTTATCCACCTAAACACATCATTAAGTTTTGCTAGACCAACCCCGCCCCTTAGTTATATAATGAAAAAAAATACATCAGTTATACATTTTTTTTTTATAACTTTTGTCCACTTTATATAATGCATATATATCGGCTGAACACATATTTTTGTGCAAAGTGTGCAACAAACATTTAATCAGGTACAAAATATTTCCATGTTGATTGGAGAAACAACTAAAATAGAAAATATTTTTTAATGATGGTTAAAATAACAACTTAGATAGTAATTCTATAAAAAAAAAAATGCAATTTGCAATTGCTCTACTTTGTTTTCAACCTTTTGTTCCTCTTTGTTTCTTGTTTTTTTTCTTTTGTTCTTCTCATACATTCATGTAAATTATTTCTCTCTTTTGTTTCTATTTTTGTTTTGTTTTATTTTTTTTTCTAATGTTTTCTATTAATATTTATTGAATGTTAATGTTTTGTGATAATGTGGAAGCGAAAAACATGATGGTAGAAGTGACGAATTTGATGGTGAAAGATGATGTGAAGAGAATTGCGGAAGTAAATATGGTGGACGAAGTGTTAGTGGTGAAATGTGAGAGATGTCATGGTGCCATATTGGAAGATGTGAAGGATAAAAAAGCAACAACAAAAGAAAGAAATACAAGAGAAAAATGATTAACTTAAACAAAAAATATTTCATGTTGATTGTTTTTATAAACAATGCAAGAAAGATGAAAATTTATGTCACTTCATTGATCGAAGATTTTCTATATTGCTTGTATCTATAACAAGTCTAGCTAGAATTGGGAAAGTGTGTTGATTGATTTTTCCCTTACTTACTTTTCAATGTCTCCTCTTGTAATTTTGTGTTTTATTTTTGTTATGCCTTGCTAAATTACAAGTTAGAATAGCGACGTGGTTTGAACATTTGATTACCAATGTTAATTTGATTTGTACCCTTTTTGTATTGATTTAATTGTCTTGTTATTTTAATTTTGTATAAAAAAATTAATTAATCTAAGTATTGTGTAATTTAATTAATAGTACATGAAAATTTTATGTTAATTGATAGAAACACAAAACAATCCATTTAGAAACTTGCATGACAAACATGTTTTATGAACTTCCAATTAGGTTGTTTTATGAACTTCCAATTAGGTTAGTTAGTTAATGTAATCAATCTTTTGTATTCATGCTTTGCTTTGTATAAATGACCTATTTTGGGATTTGTATGTGATAAAAATTGTTAATTTTCATGGCCTAAAGTAATTAAAAATTGAGAATCAAATTTATCAATAAGATTAGGATTCAATTAATTTATGATTTGGATAATTAAGAACAATTAAAGCCATAATCCTATGTTCTTTAAATTTTTGAATCCCAATTAAATTTAAACTCTCGATCAATATATAAGATATTAAGTTCTTGTAAATTGTAGTGATGTTTTTCCCATTATAAAATTTGATAACTCAAACAACAAACATTATACAATATTGTATTTGATAAACTAGTACTTCTATATATTTTAAGTGCAACTCAAAGTCAGGAAAATAATAAATAAATAGTAAACACCACCATAATACATTCTTCAATTGATATTGTTATTTTTTTCCCCTTTCTTTTTTTCTTTTTCTTTTTCCATTTCTTCATCACCATCTTCATCTTTATCCTCATTCTCGTCTTTGTTTTCCTCCTCTTCATCTTCAATGTCATCCTCATCATTTTCCTACCAATTGAAAATTATACTTTATATGATAATATTTGTATCTACTCTTATTATCATCAATTTAAAATACTAATTTACATGAATTTAGAATAATAATAATTGGTATAACTCGTCCTTTTTCTTTTGGTAATAAAAAATCTTAAATTGTGTTCATATTCTTTGTTATTTGTGGATCATGAATATGATGATTGCAACATTCACCATTTTATTGTGCCTTTACTGAAAAAAAAACCTCTAATGTTATTATTGAAATCATATATTCAAAAAGATAACAGGGATGAAACACTAAATTGCTATTAACTTAAATGTATTAAAATGTATTGGTATGATTGAGTTGATGTGTTCATAAAGACAAAAATACTAATCGTTATTTATGTTAATCATAATCCTAAATAATCACATAAAAAATCATGATAAGATAGAGGAGAATAGTAACTAATCCAACTGAAAAAGTGGAAATACGGGAACTAGTCCTAAAGGTTAAACTAACTTATGAAGTAAAAAAAAAACTTATTCTAATTCCATTAGTTATTAAATTTCACAATAAAAGAAATAAATTAAAGTTTCATTTTCTTTATATAATTAATCATCTATACTATATAAGAATGGGAATAATATTGTTTATAGCATTCAGTAAAAACCTAGAGTTCAAAATATGACTGCTAGAAGTGATAATTTGTATACATTCTTCACGTTACATTTTGCCTCCAATAAATGAATATTTAAATAATGTATCCATCGACTGAATTTAGATGAATTCAACATGATCCAAAAGTATTTGATTCCATAAAATATAAAAAGCAATATACTCCGATAAAATTTGTCAATCACCTATGATTTCTCTGAGAAAAATGAAAATACAATTACCTCATCATCAACATCCTCTTCATCATCCTCCTGTTCACAAGTCAACTATCATTAGGAATATAACAGGAAAAATAACAACAGTAAAAAGAATAAATATGTGAGATCTGAAAGTACGACAGGTATATATCATAGAGAAGATTAAAAAAAAGAAAAAAAGGTGATAGTGAGCTTACATTGTTGAAAGACGAAAGTGGATTTGGCCATAACTCGTTCTTTATTAATTCAGCAACCTGCATTTAGAGTGAAATATTGCCCAAGATCAATTGTGAAAAAGAAAAAGAAAATACCTAAAGAACTTCAATGATTGTAAATAAAGAGACGGGAAACCTAAGCTAAGGTGGTGGATGCACATATCTGGAAAGAAATTTACAATGCCAGAAAATATAATATACCTCATCATGAATGTCATGCATATCATCTTTCTGCTTACAATCACTAAACCAACGAAAGAAACTGCATTTATTGGCATAAAAATTTGAAATATTAACCATTTTTCCATGAAGTATTGGTAATAGGAGCATTGATAACATTTTCTTCAAATATATAATTAACAATTAAGAACAAGAAAAGTTTCTACAATATCTACTTTACCAACTTATCTTAAAATCATCCTGTAATGGTCGGTCAGGGTATTAAGGATTTGTATGTCTTTATCCTTGCTAAGATTTCAAAACGATATTGAAGATTTCTAACTGGCATAAAGAGATTAGTTCTACCAACTCTTAACAAGTCAATACTTTCCACATTCGAATATTTTAAATAGTTGTTCTCGTATAGAAAATAATGCTACAATATAGAAAAAGTTTGGTACACAATAGTAAAGTTTTACAGGGAAAAGGATATTGAAAATCATGTTTTTTTGAATCAAAAGTTGAATTTGGTTTGTAATCCAAACGGGAATCACTAACCAAATTCCTCTTCTCAATGTGCTAATTGATCAATTGGAATGTAATGATTCATTAAGTTATGATCACAAACAAATTTGTACGAGAAGAATAACAAGTGAACTCTTTGCATCTATATGAACATGACTTAATTTCTTTGTTCATAATATCGTTAGGCTTAGAAGAAAAAGAAAAAAAAAAAAAAAAACTAAAGGCTTCAACCTGGAATCAAACCGCTTGTTCCTTTTCTTGTCATGATCGACTCCACTGCGTATTCCCTGTAAGGTTAAGGATAATGTTTCAAATTGGAAATAAAAGAGAAAAAAAAAAGGTACAAGTTTTAGATGCAAATAGCAAAGAAAAAGTGAATTCATAGCCTTACCTTGCCCTCTTTCCATTTTATGGGGCTAGCAGTTATCTTTTTTGTTCCATCTTCAAGGATGGTAAAAGCCTTTGTAAGCTTTGTATTCTCAAAATATGGATTAGGATTGAAATTCTGAACAAAAAATAATGAAAAACTAGTCATTTTAGTCAAAAATAGAAAATTAACGTCTGGTTGTTCTTCAAAGAACAGAAGAAGCATGACTTCACATAATAGACCATAAACTTTCATGACGATCTAAAAGAAATCACTTTTACAAAGAAAAGCACCACTTAAAGAAAGAAAATGGATTTTTAATTTTAGGGAGGGAGAGGGGAGAGGGTGACAAAGAGAGGAAGGAAAACTTACAAAGTTTATTTTGTAGTCTGAGTTGACATCTTTGTTATCTTCAACCTCAAGAGAGTGCATATACTTAAACATCTGCCAAATAAAGGGTGTTGACAATGACTTAAACTTTATCAATAGGTGTTATCAGTAATCATAGGAAAAATTTAAAATATTGAAAACATTCTCGATCATGGGAACTTCACGAAACACCCTAGGTAAATAAATAAATTGAATCTAACAAAAGGCAAAATTTACCATAAATGTAAAATATCACAAGTGTGAGGAAAGAAACCAAACCTTTCGATCCTCATAGTTCAAAATGTCATAGAGGACAGGATGACTCATAAACTACACAAGCAAAACAAAAGCAAAATCAAATTGTTTTAATTTTTAACCATCATATGAATAATCAAATTAACAGAAAGACAAAAAAAAAAACTCACAGCAGTCAACCAGAAATAAGGAATTAATTTGGTGATCTCATTTCGCATATCATAAACTGGCTTCCTTTTCTCATTGTACTTTTGTGCAATTTTGAGAAACTTAACACATTGCTTTTCATTGATCTACAACGACATTCAAATTAGTCATCAATTGACATAAAAATAAATAACATCCATAGCCACAATTTATAAAGTTGCATTACACTATGCTAAGTTTACGTTAATTCAAAGAATCAATAAATTTCATGATGATTTAGAACAGAGAATGGAAATCTAAATATAAAAAATTAGATATATGATTTCAATCGAAAATTGAGAGTTTAACATAGAATGGTGACAAGGATCGGAAGTGACAACCTTTTCAAGCTTATCTTGTACTTCTTGAAATTTCTCAAAGGAAAGGACGAGTTCTTCGTTAATATTATGCTTGAAATTTTCTTCAACTTTCAACTTCTTTGACTTGTTGCCGACCATTTTCACCTCACTATTGTGTCTCTACTCCAAATGTGTGTGCAGTTGTTTATCGTGGTTGTGGAAATAAAATGAAAAGGGGGGTAAAAAAATACTATAAATTTTAGGTTTTGTAGGTTTATTTTCGATGTGCCCAAGAATGTTAATAAGATATCTCAGGATATCTCAGGAAAAAAGTTCATCAAGGGTATCTCATGACATCTCAGCATGTACCTATTTGTAATTCGAATTATCTCAGGACATTTAAGGAAAAAAGTCCATCAAGAGGCATTTTTATCATTGCAAAAGTGATCTATAATTATCTCAGGACGTTTTAGAAAATGTTAGATAAACTATAATTTAAGTTGATCTTTTAAAATATAGATTTAGACAGTATTTAATTTTTACAACATTAAAAGACAGTATTTAATTTATTTTCTTAATTCTCTTTTTTGTGGAAGGAAGAATTATATTTAAATAAATTTTATAAAAAATTATTTCTAAAAAAGTAAAAGTATTTTTAATGAAAAAAATAAAAATAAACCCACAAAATATTAAATATTATTTATATATTAGTTGTATTTTTTTCGTAACTTTTCCCGTTTTTCTACTACATTTATAATAGTTACAAGAAAGAATTTATACTGTTAAAGAAAAAACGAATTACAAAAAGTGCCTCTTCAAACACTGTTTTAGTTAGATAAATTGTAAATATTCAAGTTGCTCTTCTAAAATATATACTTAGATAGTATTTAATTTGTGCAACAAAAGAAGAAAATATTCAATCTATTTTTCAAATTTATCTTTTTGTTGAAGGAAGAATTCAAAACAAAATTTTAAAAAATAGTATTTTTAAAGAAGAAAGATTCATAAAAGTTACAATTTTAAAAGTAAGTTTTTTTCCCCTTATGAACAAGAATTAAAAAATATATATATATATACAAAAGTAGTGTTTTTATGTTAGTAATGTGAAGCAAATTCTACTTATAAAGAGAAAACAAGAAATTTTAAAGATCTATGTGTCAAACACTATACGTATTAGGTAAATTTTAAATATTCAAAATCTCTATTTAGACAGCATTTCATCTTTACACAAAAGGAAATGACAGTATTTAATCTTTTTTTTTTAATTTTTCTTTTTTGTTAAAGGAAGAATTTAAATCAAATAATTTTTTAATAAATTTCTTAAAAATAAGAGTGTTTTTTAAAATTTCAGGGAAAATAAAAAATAGATGGCAGTATTTAATCTGTTATTTTTAATTTCTCTTTTTGTTAAAGGAAGAATTTAAATCGAATAAATTTTTAATAAATTTCTTAAAAATAAGAGTGTTTTTTAAAAACAAAATTGAGAAAATTTCAAAGAAAATAAAAAATAGTGTCTTATATACATACATACATACATATATATATATATATATATATATATATATATATTTGCATTTTCTTCCTTTTCAACATACATATGATAGTTATATGAAGGAATTTTAACTCTTTTATTATTATTTTTTTGCTGTTAAACTTTTTCTTTTAATTTAAAAAAAATGAATTTTGAAAAGGCTAAGTTGAACAATATATATATTTATATAATATAAATTGTAAATATTCAAGCTGATTTTCCTAAATATATATTTAAATATTATTTATTTAGTCTGTACACCCAAAAGACGATAGAATTTAATATATTTTTTAATTACTTTTATTGATAAAGGAAGAATTTAAATAAATATTTCTTAAAAAAAATCTAAAACTAAGAGTATATTTTAATGAACAAAAAAATTAATAAATCATAAAAAGTAAAAACGGTGTTTTTAATTATATTCGTTATATTATTGGTATATTTTTCTCCTGTGATATTTAGTTATATGATGAAATTTCTACTTTTAGATAAAAATAAAAGGAATTTTGAAAATCAATATCCAAACACTATTTATGCTTGATTAATTGTAAATGTACCATCTTGAGTCAACATGAGTAATAAAAAACTCTGTTACTTAATCAAGAGACTGAAATTAGAATATTAACTCTTGAATAAATGTACACTTATTCAGTATCTATAGAATCTTTGAGGAAGATTAGTTTTCCTATTTGACAGATAATCCATGATAATGAATAAAAAATAAATAATTTCCAAATATTCAACCTATTCTTTTAAAATGTACATTTAGACACTATTCAATCAATACACCAAAATGGAATAGTACTCGATCTATTTGTTTAATTTCTCTTTTTGTTAAACACTATTTATAGGTATATAAATTGCAATTAATATTCAAGTCAGTCTTCTAAAATATATATTTAGATAATAATTTATATTAAATAAAATTTAAAAATTACTATAAATAAAGAGTTTAGATGATTATATTATTTAGATGATCCAATAAAAAAAAGTGGTTTGAATTGCATAAAAGTAAATTAATGATACGTAAAATGAATGAACGGATTTCAATGATAAAAAGAACCTAGGGTTAAGGTTCGCTTATGCATTCAATCCATGTACCCATGAGTTAATTCAAACATATTTTTTTATTATGATATTTATCTTTAAAAAGATATATAATTATAATATATTTTTTATTGTTTGATTATTTCACATACAACTTTATATTAATATAAAGATTGTCTATTTTGAAATTAAGTTTTCATAATTTTATTTTTGTATCTCAACATTTTTAAGCGTCAATTATCAATTTTCCTTTATCATTTTTATTCACATTTTCTGTTCATGAGTTGCAAACCACTTTTCTCAAATTAACCCTTAATTGTCCATTAGCTAGTAAAAGGATTGGAACAGAGAGGGGAAAACACAAAGAATTAGTTGGTAGTTTGTTCATTAAAGGTGGAGGCAAATCAGAGGGCACTTAAGAATTAAGATGTTGATGGATGCCTTGGGGAGAATGCATGGACCGACGCAAAGGAGTACGAGGCCCATCTTAAGGGGCCCACACCGGGCCTGGAGGAGTTGACGAGGGCACTATAGGATTTGTAAATGATGACCAGAGTAGCAGCAACAACAATAGAGAAGAGATTCAGGAGGAGGAGGACTTTTCTTTCGTTTTATTTTTTCATTTAATTTTGACTTATTTCTATTTTCAGTTCCATTTTTATGTACTTTGATTTGAGATTTGAGATCAATATGTGATTTACTATATACCTTGGATATGTTCAGTGTTTATATTCTTGTTGATGATTTTTTTTTTTTTTTTGTGATTATCCTTTTCTTATATATATATAGAGGAATATTAATTATATCTTCTTGTCGTATTGGTATTTTCACACATCTCCCCAGTGTATGTTATGATATTGTCCACACATAGAGCATAATAATTTTATTTTAATCATCATCTAAAAGGTTTTATACTAATAAATACTATAAAAAATATTATATATAATTACATATAAAAAAAATGTCATTATAAGTATAATATATATATATTGATATATAGTTACATACAATTTTAGTGTTGATTTTGAATGAAATTTAATATATTTTGTATGTCATTATAATTTAAACTCATATTTTTTAACAATATACCAACATATATTATATATACTGTGTGAATAAAAATAGTTTTTAATGACACATATTGTATCACTATAGAATGTTCTTGTAGTCAAAGTATGTGTATATTTTCATAAATTCTTATATTTTTTCCTCTTATTCTAAAAACGTGAGATATTATTTATATCTCAACAATATTCTCCTTAAATAAACAACCTAACGTCTCATCCAATAGAATTTATGTCTATTATATTTTTATTGTTGTTTGTTTGTATGAGTTTTGAAACCATTGATAATTTTTTGGTCATTGTCTTTTTAGATATATTCATCTAGAGGAATATGACCTTATATATACTTTTATAATTTTATTTTTAGTTATCACTTAAAAGACCTCATACCAATGTAGTATGTGTTTACTTTTATAAACTATTGTTTCTCTTCTTGTATAATGATGTAGAACATCTTCAAATAAATAATCTAACCTTTCATTCAGCGAAATTTATATCTTGTATTATATTTTTATTGTTGGTTGTTTGCATGAGTTTTAATACCACTTATAGATTTTTTTATTATTGTTTTTTTAGATATATTTATTAAGAGAAATATTAATTATATCTTGTTATATTATATATATATAGATATATATATATATATATATCTTAATTAGTATGATATTGTACATTTTGAATATAATCTTTTATAATGAGTAATACCATTGAAATTTACACAATTTATTTTGTTTGAGTTTCTTAATTATTATTTTTTTGCATGTGTACTTGGAAGTGACCTAAGCTTTTTTTTTTTTTTAATTTTATTTTAAATAATGAACTATTAAACAAAAAGCCAACTTTAAAATTTTATTCCCTTGTGTCTCCCTTAAGCTAAAAGTAGAAAAATTCTTCAAGTGTATAACCTTTAGCCTTATAAGAAAATTAAGCCGTTAACCCTCGTCAAAAAATAGGAGAGCAAAGTACAGAATAAGTTGTTACACTTGCAGTGGGACTGCTATGTCAGGAAGAAAGGAAACTATTATTGGGTATATACTATATAGAAAGAAAAAAAAATCTACACCTTTGTTTCAGAAGTCAATATGTTACAAAAAAATAAAATATCAGAAAAAGGTAACAAAGGTGGGTTAGAATAAAAAGCCTAAACGAGAATCTTGTATTCCGATTAGATGTGTATTCTTTCTTTTTGTGAATAACATCCGATATTCCTACTACTTGGTGCCAATTTAACACATCACCAACAAATAAAACATAGCATCTCAATTTAAATCCTTATTTTAATTTAAAATCTTTTGCTAGCCTTTTACAACATCAATAAGAATCATTCCAACAACAGTCATCAGGGTTTGAGGAAAAAAAATGACATTGCATTTGAAAAATGGTTAGATAAACAGGAAAATATCACCATAATGCATTTTTCAATTGTCTTTATTATTTTCTTCTTCATCTTTCTCCTTTTCTTCTTCATTCTCTTCTTCTTCTTTCATTTTTTTGTCATCCCCATTCGTATGCTTATTCTTATCTTCAAGCTTTTGGTAAACATCCACGACTTTAGGTACAATCAAAAGTCGAAAAAGAGATCTTAAGATTCTAGAATCATTCTCTCTAACTTCTTAAAAACTTAAAAGCTAAAACTTATGAAAATTACTTTACATATCTCAAGTTTGTTTTAGACAAACTTTTATACACTTAAGTTATATTTTCTATAATTTAAACTTAGACTTAAGTCAACTCTAACCTCGTCACGACATAGATAAAATAACATATATCATAAATATATATCATTAAGAAAAATTTAGTGTTACATTAACCCTTCATTTTTTCTTAATAAATAACAATAACAATAAACTTTATTTTTCATAAAAAAAAATATGCATAAATAGAATAAATATTTGCCATAACAAATTTAGAGTGTGATAAGTATAATTGTCAGGGTTAGTCGAATTACTGTAGACATAGCCGAAAAATGTCCAACCCGTTTTTTAGATAGTTAAGTAGAAAACTGTGAGAATCATTGAATCATAATAAGTTCCCAAGTATTTGTACTTCATTTTCAAAAGGACACGAACAATTAATCAATCAAATTTATTTATCAATCCCGCATTTACTTTCCTTTATCGCTTTTATTTACAACTTTTATCTTTAATTTCCACGCAACTCTCTTAATCTTCTACGATCACCTTCATAAGTGCTTTCCAACGTAGCTAAGGAACTCACAGTTGGGAAGCATATTCTCCTTCTATACACAAATCGCCTAAATATAGGGATCGTGTTAGAGCAAGTTAGCTAAAATTTTCGGGTGAGTTATTCATGCAACAGTAATTAACGCACCTACAAGAAAAATATGTTTGCAATTTCATATGCTTAAGCATGCTAGTAATACTTTTTTATTATTGATTAAATTATATTAAAAACTACAAAATCATGAGAGATAGAAAAAAATCTTTAAATGATAAAATGTGAAACCTAATAACTCTATCAGTCTATCTCATAATTCTGTAGGTTTCAAAATATATTTTAACAAATGATAAAAAAAAGTATGTTAAAGAATGTATTACTAACTCTCCTCATAAATAATCTACTTAAAAGATCAAATGGACGAAAACATTAAACCATCTTTCATAGATTTTTTTCCCCAAACATTGTTGGGATCCAATTACAAGTAATGAGACTTTAGTCTTATATAGTATGAGATTCTAGTATAGGATTTATAAGGCCTTGGACTTCAACTACAACAACTAGCTTTTGTGGTGGGGTTCTAACAAAGTTTTTATCAATTGGTATCTAAGTCTTCCACCATGTTTCCCAATTGCATTCGAATGCTGCGAGTAATGACATCAGCGTAGCAATGTTCACCCAAGACTAGTGAAAAGGGTTGCAAAACATGGTGGGATGCTAGGATGCAATTGTAAGGCATAATCTAGTTTCATTAAATGATCAAATGGAAGAAAACATTAAACCATCTTTCATAGTTTTATTTTATAATGTTTCAAACATTGTTAGGATCAAATTACAAGGTATGAGACTTGAGTCCAATATAGTATGAAATTCTAGTATAGGATTTATAAGGCCGTGGACTTCAACTACAACAGCATTGCAATGTTCACCTAAGACTAGTCAAAGGAATGGTAGAACATGGTGGGATGTTAGGATCCAATTGTATGGCATCCACCATGTTTCCCAGCTACATACAATCTGTGTGAGTAGTGACGTCAGCATTGCAATGTTTGCCTAAGACTAGTCAAAGGGATTGTAGAACATGGTGGGATGTTAGGATCCAATTGTATGGCATGGGACTTGAATCCCACATTGGATGTACGTATGATATTTTAATGTGGGGTTTATAACAACTACTACAACTAACTTTTGTGGTGTGATTCCAAGGTTCTTATCAGACACCATCCCTTCAAATGAATGGTTCGTTAAGAGATGTACTTTAGTAGTCTAGCTAGGCAAGGGGAAACCAGAAGTTACACTAAAACAGGCACCGTAAAACAGAAATACAAATATATAGATAATAGTAGATTGATATTGGCATCTGAACATTTTGTGAGAAGAAATAAAGCTGCCTAAAATTCTCAACTTTCTTTCTGAAAAAAGTAATTAGGACCATTAATTTCATGACTTACACGTGCCAGTCAAAAAGAAAATGGGAGAAAGCAAATGAAAAATGTACCAATAAAAAGTTGGATAAGGCACTTTACTTATTATAGTTCAGTAAACATTCACCATCATCTTCAACGTACACTCCTCCATTTCCCGAAGATACTTGCCAAACATTTTCATTTGAAGCTGTTGCCAATTGGCTTTCCCTCATAAAATGCTTCGGGTCATTGCTATCATGCTGCACCCTCCCAGTAATCTCCAAGCACAAGCCCTTGCTTATGCCTTTGTGTGATTGCCTATCTTTAGCAGACTTCCTACTGAAGCCCAAGTCCACAAAAACCGGTTGAATCTTAAGAGTTGGGTTTGGTTTGATACGGTTCATTTCCCTTTCATCTTGTGGACGTAATATTCTATTTTCCGACTGCAATTCTGAAACCTCATCTTCATTCACAAGAACCTACAAGATATAAATCAGAATCCAAAAAAAAAAAAAAATAAACAGGTACTCTGCATAATAATAGGCTTGTTATAAACAAGCATACGAAGACTACTAGACAAGCAACAACAATGGGATAAAGGTGAAGGTATCTAACACAACGAATTGCATGCTTTGAAAAGACTTTTTCATCTCAAATTCAAGACTTTCATCCTATAGAACCCATAACATGTAGTATGTAAAACCATCAAAACAATGGAGCAAGCATAATAACTTGAAATACATCTGAAGATACCAGGAAATAATCACACAAATCCAACTTAATAATGAGACATTTGTATCCAATTCTACACAGGATAATTCATGCTTCAGCAAATCCAACAAGTAACAGCAGGTCAGATCATATGGCTAAAGTATAAACCTTGCGGCCAACTAGATCAAAAGTCACAACAACTCTATTCCGTTTGGCTCGCTCAGCTTCTTCCATCTCCTCTTGTTTCTTCTTCAACATTTCTTTTTCCTAAAGAAAGAAGACAAAATTGAGACATTCAAATGTGTCCTAAAAATAGTATCACATGTGAACATGATTTCAAGATGTGTACAAAATAGAATACCTCCTTTGACAACCAACTGTTTCCATCAATCTCATAGTAGTCACTTTGGTCATCAATAACTGTTGTACGAGCTGCAGCATTTCGGTCATAATCAACAAGCCTCTTTGCATAAGCTTCAGCAGCAGCCTCAGCATCTGACAAGGGAGGCAAACTTTCTTCCAGACCAGCATATGAGCTACCCTCTCTTAACACAAGTGCGCCACAAAAATTGCAAGGCCCCTCTCCTTCTTGTTCACAAACTATTTTTCCACAAGACAAGCAATTGCTGACCAGCCTGTGCCGACGTGCTTGACAAGCGCATGGTCTTCCCTGCTGGAACACAATTGACCCTTTGGCAGCCTCAGCAAGTGAGACGGCTTTCCCAGCTTTCTTCTTTTTGGAACTCACTTGGTTTCCCTTTTGTGATGTTCTTGATTCACTGCCTGCAGCTGGAGCCTGATTCTCCTGATTACTTCTAACTGCATTCTTGTTGGGTTCTGCCTGATTACTTCGGCCCGGCGCCCCTGCTTTTGGTGTTCTAAATGATTTCTTAGTGCCACTAGCAGATGTCTCAACTGAAGGCGGTTTGACATATGCATGTAATTTGGTGGTTGGAACATCTGAGCTGGTACCGAATTCTGAGTGCCCTCTCCGTCGTAAATATTCTTCAATCACAGTTTTCCCTGCTTCCTGACCAATTATATTCTGCAAGGGAAAATAAAGATACATCTATTCAGAGCTAAATCTTCCATTAAACATATACATAACAAGATTCCATTCTCAATTAATCGTTTTTCATTAAAATGAATGCATCGTTAGGATATTCAAAACAGTTCGTACTTAAACCCTAATGTCCTAGATTTAGAGCGAGTAGAAGGTCTGGGATTTTGATCACCAGCAGAATAAAGTTTAAAATAAAAAAATAAAAAAAATCATAATGGATCGGGAGCAATTAGAATCTAAATTTCATAAAATAAAATTCTCGTGATGAAAAGAAAAGAAAAGAAAAGAGGGGTTACGTCAAGGTACTCTTTAGCATCTCGTGGCTGAGCAAGGTCGCAATAAGAAACGAGGCCTTTAATGATCTCTTCGTCCAAACCTAAACCCAAACCTGTTTCTATCTTCGAGCATAACTCCACCAGCGCCTTCTCCAGCCACTCCCCCGCCGATTCCATCTCCTCTCTCAGCCGCTGCGCTTATCGGCTTATGTCATGGAGGCCGTTTTTTCTTGCATATAAGTTACTCGCAGAATTTACTGGTTATAATTTATTTAAATAAATAAAAAAAAAAGTAATATATTATTTATCACTTTTTCTTTCCTTAGTAATTTTTATTTACTTTGGTACACCCTTTAAAATCAGGAAAACGAGAGAGTATTGACAGTTGACTTGATTGAATGTATGAATGTAAATTTTGCAATGATGAGTCGTGCATTGCTTCCGAAACACGTTGCCGCCGTGGTGAAAACCCAAAAGGATCCTCTGAAAGCGCTCGAGATGTTCAACTCGGCGAAAAGCGAGGACGGCTTCAAGCACACGGCGTTAACGTACAAATGCATAGTCCAGAAGCTCGGCCACCACGGCGAGTTTGAAGAGATGGAGAAGCTGCTTTCGGAGATGCGAGATAGCGTCAACAACGCGCTTCTGGAAGGAGCCTACATCGGAGCTATGAAAAGCTACGGCAGAAAAGGGAAGGTTCAGGAAGCGGTGGACACGTTCGAACGCATGGACTTCTACAACTGCGACCCCTCCGTTCATTCCTACAACGCCATCATGAACATTCTCGTCGAGTACGGCTTCCATAACCAGGCCCACAAAGTGTACATGAGAATGAGAGACAAAGGGCTGGAATCTGATGTGTACACGTACACCGTAAGGATCAAGTCTTTCTGTAGGACTCGTAGGCCTCATGCTGCTCTCAGGCTCCTTCGAAACATGCGTGATCTTGGGTGTGATTCAAATGCTGTGGCCTATTGCAATGTGGTTGCTGGTCTTTATGATTCTGGCCACTGTGATCAGGCACGTCAGTTGTTCGATGAAATGCTTGCGCGGTGTTTGTGTCCCGATGTTGTCACGTTTAATAAGCTTGTGCATGTGCTTTGCAAGAAGGGTCTTGTTTCTGAAAGTGAGAAGCTTCTCAACAAGGTTTTCAAGAGGGGGGTTTGTCCCAATTTGTTCACTTTTAATATATTCGTTCAAGGGCTTTGTAGGGAAGGTGATCTTGACCGCGCTGCTAGGTTGTTGGCTAGTGTGTCGAGGGAAGGACTGTGTCTTGATGTTGTTACTTATAATATATTGATATGTGGGCTTTGTAGGAATTCGCGGCTTGTGGAGGCGGAGGAGTACTTGCAGAAAATGGTGAATGAAGGATTTGAGCCTGATGGGTTTACTTATAACAGTATTATTGATGGATACTGCAAGAAGGGGATGGTGCCAAATGCGAATAGAGTGCTGAAGGATGCAGTTTTTAAGGGTTTTAAGCCTGATGAGTTTACTTATTGTTCCTTAATTAACGGGTTTTGCCGGGATGGTGACCCTGATCAAGCCATGGCAGTCTTTAAGGATGGACTGGGAAAAGGTTTAAGGCCGAGCATTGTTGTTTACAATACCTTGATTAAAGGGTTGTGTCTTCAGGGTCTTATTTTGCCAGCTCTGCAATTGATGAATGAGATGGCAGAAAATGGTTGTCAACCTGATATATGGACTTATAATGTAGTGATAAATGGCTTGTGCAAGATGGGTTGTGTGTCTGATGCTAATCATCTTGTCGATGATGCTATTGCCAAAGGGTGCCTCCCGGATATATTTACCTATAATACTATAATTGATGGCTACTGTAAACAGTTGAAGTTAGACAATGCAACTGAGATAGTAAATAGAATGTGGAGTCAGGGAATGACTCCTGATGTTATTACATACAATACCTTGTTGAATGGGCTCTGTAAGGCTGCTAAATCTGAAGAAGTAATGGGGATTTTCAAGGCAATGGAGGAGAAGGGATGTGCTCCAAACATTATTACATACAACATTATTGTAGAGAGCCTTTGCAAAGCTAAGAAAGTAAATGAAGCTGTAGATTTGCTTGGGGATATGAAAAGCAAGGGTTTGAAACCTGATGTTGTTAGTTTTGGCACGTTGATCACTGGGTTCTGTAAGATTGGGGATATTGATGCTGCTTACCAGTTATTTAGAAGGATGGAAAAACAATATGATGTTTGTCATACAACAGCAACATATAATATTATAATCTGTGCATTTTCTGAACAGCTCAATATGAATATGGCCATGAAGCTCTTTTCTGAGATGAAGGACAACGACTGTGACCCAGACAACTATACTTATCGGGTTTTGATTGATGGCTTTTGCAAAATGGGAAATGTTACTCAAGGATACAATTTTCTTTTGGAAAATATTGAAAAGGGGTTTATTCCATCACTAACGACATTTGGACGGGTTTTAAATTGTCTTTGTGTAAAGCACAAGGTTCATGAAGCTGTTGGTGTCATCCACCTTATGTTACAAAAGGGTATTGTTCCAGAGACTGTAAATACAATTTTTGAAGCTGATAAAAAGGTGGTAGCAGCACCTAAGATTGTTGTAGAAGATTTGTTGAAGAAGGGCCATATAACTTATCCCACTTATGAACTACTATATGATGGTATAAGAGATAAAAAGATACTTAAGAAAAGACTCCCAACTGTGAATTCTCTTCATCGAGGGGCCAAATCACCAGCTGTTGATTAGAAGATAATATCTTTGGAAAGTGATCTTTCATGAACCTCTGCTCAGTTCTAACTTCTAACTTGTTTGGAGCTTACAGTAGATACCTATTATGATGCTGAATTTCATGGCTTTTTCTCGCAGAATGCAAGCCATGGTCAGAAGTTTTGGTCCAGGTATTTGTACTATCTATACTTTTGCTTCTTCATCAATAATGAATAGATTGTATTGATAAGCACATTTTATGACAGAACACTGGTTGAAACATAATATTCAGTCCATTGACATGTAAATACTTGACTCATCACCAAGCCTATATATGTGAGCCCAGGGATAGCTGAAATTTGAATAATGCACATTATATGTTTTTATTTTTCATTATTATTATTATTATTATTATTATTATTATTATTATTATTATTATTATTATTATGTATCCAAATAAATAATACAGTTTTATTTGACCAAAATGCTACTGTGAGGCTTTGGGATGCTCGTGTGTTTTGGGTGTAAATTGGGGTTTTGATGGCATAGAAACTCGAGAGAATTGGGGGTATGTGATTATGGAAAGTCTTTCTTTACAGGGCTAAAGCTTGGTTTGCTATATAGCTATTTTTATTATTTTGTATTTGACATGAAATGGCAATCATTAAAGGCAAAATCACTTCAAACAATAGGGGGTATGTTGCCGAAATGTGATGGCTTGATGCTATCTGCCTCCAAAATGCAGCTGCAGTGTGGTTTTCTCCGTGACAGGTAGTGTGGCTATGTCAATGGGTGCTCCAGAGCGGTATCAACTGCGGTATGATATTTTTTCCATGTGAATATGTCAATAATCGGTATGATATTTTTTCCTCGTGAATATGTCAATAATGATGGGACCATTTTCGTCAAATATAACACAAATAATATCAATTTCAGGACAAGGTAGGCAAGTTGCAATGCTCACCTACCACACTTGAGTCTGCATTCCAGATTTTTCATTCACAATGGTACATGTGAAGAATGAGGAATAATGATGCTCAACCCCATACTTAAGTCCTCAAAAAACAAGAAAGAAATATGGCTGCTAATTTCATAGCATTCTGTTGAGATTTATGGCATGGAAATTATAATACAAGTCGTGGTTGTATATCTAAAGGTTAGCTCCTTTCCATTGAGATGTACTGTGTGTAGTCATTGATGGTGGAGTTTTAGATATGGAAGCATAATTGTTAGGGACTATAATTCATAGCCTCGAATGTCCTTATATTCTTTGTTCATTTTCGTATTGCAGGTTAACTCCCTACACAGGATACAAAAACTGTTTCTTACTTCCCAGAAATCAGACAAAAGAACCCTGAACCCACATACAGGATTTGCATCATATTCACGTAGATGCATTAAATATTTACCAGCAAAAAGTATGTGCGCCATCTTGACGTCAGAATATACTACTCTCAGTTTGTTAAGAAGGTTCTGATTATTCAGAAAGTCAAGAAAAAGCAGGCATAAAAAAACTGAGAGAACATGCCTGTTTCACCTATTATCTTTCAATTAATTGTTGGGAATTTAAGTGTGGATAATAAAGTCCCATATGTTGATCTCAAAAAAAGATTCATATGCCCAATGTAATTAAATTAACCCTTTTTTGCCCAACGTATTTCCCTTACGAGGGACTAATAATTTTTTGAAGAGAATCAGTCCTTGTTGTTTGTTATTTAGTAAACGAGGGCGTAAAGTTGGATGCATTGCACTTGCACGGTATATATAGGACCTCTCTTTTGCTTGGAGTTATGTTGACAATTGAAGTGAACAATACACAAGTACACTCGGGAAGGAATGGAAGAAGGATGGGTTTCTCTGCTGAGCAAGTGCAGCAGCCTGAAAGCCACGAAGCAAATCCACGCCAACATCTGCAAAACCGGTCTTCACACAGACCCTTTCGTCTTCGGCAAGCTCCTTCTCCACTGCGCCATCTCCATCACGGATGCTCTCCACTACGCTCTCCGTCTCTTCCACCACTTCCCCAACCCTGACACCTTCATGCACAACACCCTCATTCGCGCACTCTCCCTCTCCCAAACCCCTCTCCTCTCCCTCCACCCCTTCATCCAACTGCGTCGCCAACCCACCCTCTTCCCCGACAGCTTCTCCTTCGCCTTCGCCCTCAAAGCCGTCGCCAACTCCCGCCACCTCAGCCCTGGCATTCAGCTCCACTCCCAGGCCTTCCGCCACGGCTTCGACGCCCACATCTTCGTTGGAACAACGCTGATCAGCATGTATGCCGAATGCGGTGATGCCGGCTCCGCGCGCCGGGTGTTCGACGAAATGTCTCAACCGAATGTTGTTGCGTGGAACGCTGCTGTCACCGCGGCTTTCCGTTGCGGCAACGTGGAAGGCGCGCGGGACGTGTTTGGGCGAATGCCGGTTCGGAATTTGACTTCCTGGAATGTGTTGCTTGCTGGTCACGCCAAAGCAGGTGAGCTTGGGTTGGCGAGGAGGGTTTTTGTTGAGATGCCTCTGAGAGATGATGTTTCTTGGAGCACTATTATTGTTGGGTTTGCTCATAATGGCTGCTTTGACGAGGCTTTTGGGTTTTTCAGGGAGTTGCTGCGCGAGGGAATTGGGATAAATGAGGTGAGCCTCACTGGGGTGTTGTCTGCTTGTGCTCAAGCTGGGGCTTTTGATTTTGGGAAGATTTTGCATGGGTTTGTGGAGAAAGCTGGGTTTCTTTATGTTGGTTCTGTGAACAATGCTCTCATAGATACCTACTCCAAGTGTGGGAATGTGGCTATGGCCAGGTTGGTCTTTCAGAATATGCCGGTGGCAGCGAGGAGCAATGTGTCTTGGACATCGATAATAGCGGGACTTGCGATGCAAGGTTATGGAGAAGAGGCAATACAGCTTTTTCATGAGATGGAAGAGTCTGGAGTTAGGCCAGATGGTATTACTTTTATATCGTTGCTGTATGCTTGCAGCCATAGTGGCTTGGTTGAGGAAGGGTGTGGTTTTTTTTCTAAGATGAAGAATTTGTATGGTATTGAACCTGCCATTGAGCATTATGGTTGCATGGTTGATTTGTATGGTCGAGCTGCTAGGTTGCAGAAGGCCTATGAATTTATATGTGAAATGCCAGTTTCGCCTAATGCCATCATTTGGAGGACTCTCCTTGGGGCTTGTAGCATTCATGGTAATATTGAATTGGCAGAGCTTGTGAAAGCGAGGCTTGCTGAAATGGATCCGGACAACTCTGGTGACCATGTACTGCTCTCAAATGTTTACGCCATTGCAGGGAAATGGAAGGATGTTGCCAGCATAAGAAGAACCATGACTGAACATAGTATGAAAAAAACTCCTGGTTGGAGCATGATTGAACTAGACAAGGTCATTTATGGTTTTGTGGCTGGTGAAAAGCCTAACGAGGTTACGGAGGAGGCTCATGAAAAGCTGAGGGAAATAATGTTGAGACTCAGAGCTGAAGCAGGTTATGCACCACAGCTAAAGAGTGTTCTGCATGATATTGAAGAGGAAGAAAAAGAAGATTCGGTTTCTAAGCACAGCGAGAAGCTTGCTGCAGCTTTTGGAATAGCAAAACTTCCCAAGGGAAGGATATTAAGAATTGTGAAGAACCTGAGAGTTTGTGGGGACTGCCATACTGTGATGAAGCTGATTTCTAAAGTTTATCAAGTAGAAATTATTGTGAGAGATAGAAGCCGCTTCCACTCATTCAAGGATGGATCTTGTTCTTGCAAAGATTACTGGTGACAGAGGTCAGGTGATTGATCAAGTAGTTTATCTTGACTTGACTGCTTTTGTTTACAACGAAAATACACAAGTTAATTGTTTCCTGATATTCACCAATTTGACTGATCTGGATAGCTCAATGCTGACATCACATGATGGTCTAATAAAATTGCTACTAGAGAAGCATTTAGTTGTTCAGTCAACTGTCAAGTGGTTTTTCTGCCATTACTGGAGAAGTATGGTGAAATGGTAATGGCCATTAATTGAGAAGTAATGCAGCCAATAACTACTGGTCTTTCTACAATCATTCCTCTAGAGCACAGACACCTATTGGAAGAAAGAAAAAGAGAAGTGAAAATCATGAACCAACAAAATCATGCAAACTGGAGGGGAGCAACACTTTATTGAGGTATTCAAAATGCAACGATTATGGTCACAACAAAATTAATTGTCAAACCATGTCTTTACATTCACTAAGACAAAGAAACAAGGAATGTTTCGATCCGTTGATGGACGAGCTGCTTAAGGCCTCCCAAATACCATGCCACTTAGATTTTCCAGCAATTTCAATTCTTCATGGTGATAATGATCGCCATAGTGATTTTTTTGCAGAAGTTGTTGGACCGGGAGAGGTTGTTGTCGTAACAGAACTTGGTCTCTTGGTTGTGGCAGCGGAATCTCTGCTGGTAGTGGTAGAGGCAGATTGTAGTTGTAGGAACTTTTTCATTCAAAAGGTGACGATGAAACTCATTGCAACGGTTTAGTGAACATAGTTCCATGGCCTTGACACCTATAGTTGAATTATAAACAAATTTTCCATTACCTTAGTAATGATAATTAAGACCTTAAGCTTGCTGGTCAGCTTTGATTCTTTGTTTTATTGGATTCCTCTTTTTTACGATTATAAACCAATTGGTATGTTTACTTGTGAGATGGATAGCAGTCATTGATTAAAAATATATTTTATATAATAATTATTATAATTAAAAAAATATTATCTTTAATTCTAATCGTAAATAATATAGGACAAATTATGGAGATCAATAAATAGTTACTTTTAAATAATTCTACCATATATTCAAGTTTTATTCCAAACATATCTTTTATTTTAAGTGACTGTTATGTTTAATATTAAATATAAGTAAATGTATAGGAAATAAAGTTAACAATAAATGAATAGTAAAAAAGAAATTTAACCTAATTAAGTTTAAATTTAATTTATTATTTATAATTAGGACCGAAAGTAGTATTGTTTGTATATTTTAAATTGTTATTTATAATTTGAAAACAGTTATGTTTATTTTATAACAATAAAAAAAATTGATTATATAATGGTTATTATTTAATTTATACAATAATGGATTAATGGAACTAATGTATACAATATTTGAGATAAATATTGAATAATGCAATCTAGAACACCAAACCTTTGATAGTGAGAGATCAAAGAAATTTTTTCCTTAACATGCATGCTCTGTTTATGTGTTATTATACCGCATGTAATATAATAAGATCTATGATTGGTTCTTGGAAATCCCATTTTGTAATAATGAAAATATCATTTTCAAATTTAATAAAAATGGTGAAAAAAATAATATCAAGCCTTTAATCAAAGAGTTATATAGTTTTTATGATTAATAATATTGTAAATATATGCTTTGTTATAAAAATTGATAAAAGAAAAAGATTAATTTAAATGTAACATTACCTTTATTAATATATTGCGACAAATTTCTTTATAAATCACATTTGAAGTAATGTCAATATCTTTATTTTCATTATTTTTAACTAAAATCTTGAGAGTTTTTCTTGATGTATCTCTTGATATAATTATATATAGCTGACTGTGTGGAAAAATTTTGTGACAAAAATAATTCAATATGTTTTAAAGATTAATTTGGACTCTTGTCGATAATTATTGTAAAAGAAATATTCATGAAGAACTATCTGTGTTAAAATTTAAAAAGAATATTTGCACCAAAAGAAGATAATGAAAGTTTAAGAATAAATACCTTTTAAGATCAATTTTACTTCTAGATAAAATATTGCCTTCTAAAACATATTTTCCCATCTTTGTGATAATTAGTTAAATACCATTACATAATCTCGATGATAGGTTAATATTTCTTAACATGCATAACTGGAAGTCCAACTTTTAACTTCAAAACATTATTTGAAAGCCTAGAAGAAGTAATTGTGTTTAAGAATTATGGAGTGTTGACATCATCTGAACTATTAATTTCATCATTTTTAGAAAAATGTGTATCCAAGTTTGGATAATTTTGCTCCTCACCAATGACAATATATGCTCATTTATCATGTCAACGATGTAATTTTTAGGAGTTAAAAGCCTTATATTTTAACTTTATTTTGACTTAATAAAAATCTCAAAGATATTTTACACTGAAACCCCCCCCCCCCCCCCCCCCCCCCCCCTCCCTCTCTCTATATATACAAAATATTTTATTTTGGCTTTTAATTTTGTTATTATTACTTTTTTTATGTTTTGGTTTTGATTACCTATTGTTAAATAATGAACTTTTTTTTTTCACTTTTACACTGAAGCTAACATATTTGTATATGAATTAATCATTACATTGTTAATCAATTATATCTTTTAATAGTATTATGTTAATTATTTATTTAATAAAATAATAATAAATAAATAATTTTAAAAGATATCATTAATTGTCAATATAAAATTTTTTACATTAGCAGTGTATAAATGATTAACTCTTCGTATATACACTGCATTTAATTTTGTTGCTATTACTTTTTATCTATTTTGATTTTGTTGTTTATTAACGTCTTGATTTTATAAACTCAAGAGTCATCGTCTCATGTTCTTTTGTAAAATACTGTCTATTGGAAATAAAATTAATAAGTAAAATAATTTTTATTCATCTTCTTTATTTTCAAAAATTAAAATCAATAATTGTGACTTCCAATCCAAGATTAATAAATTAAATATAAAATATAAAATTAACTTTGGAAAAAGTGCACATAATGATACCAGATTCTGTTTTTTTTTTTTTTAAATAATAAGTGTCTACTTGTATGATTCAATGAGGGAATACTTCAGATCTATTACTACTGTTCTTTTCTTTTTCCTCCTTTAAGAGAAAAGTGTCAGAATAATGCATCATTTATTCTCATTCTTACAAGATAGTCATTATAGAGTGCTTCTAACATGAAGTAGTTGAGCACATGCTTCACCTATAAGACAGTAAAATGACTGGCAATAGCAAGTTATTTTAACTTGTTTATAATTGCAAAATAGTCCTTATATTATATGTGGAAACGCGGTGGCGACGAAGGCATGGTGGCAATAAAGGTGTTGTCTCCTTCCACGGTGGCAGCGGAGGCGTGACCTCCTTTGCGCGGTGGCAGCGGGAGCGCATACTCTTTCAGGCGGTGGCAACGAAAGCTCAGCCTTGTTCGCGCGGTGGCAGTAGAGGTGTCGTTTCCTTCCACGGTGGTAGCAGCAAAGGCGTGACCTCCTTTGCGCCAACATCGCCACCAGCCTCCCCATGCCCGTCCAGTCCATGAAGTTCATCGCCGTCATCGCTATCTTCACCTCCCTACCCCTCACCATCCCTCAAATCTCCACCGCAGGACTCTCCGTCATTGCCATCCTCCTCCTTCTCGGGGCCACTGGCCTCACCGCTACCTCTCCCTCCTTGTCGTCTGCGACATTTAGCTCTCCTAGGGCCTCTCCTTCGCCTTCTCCATCATCAACTACATTTGCCACGACCAAAACCTCGTCACCTCCAAATCCGGCTCGCCCTCGACGGCCTCGTCGTTGTCGTCTTCCTCGTCCTCACTATCGATGCCAGCGACCACCCCCCACCCTCACCACCACAAGAAAACCAAAATAGGGACTAATATGCAAAATATAAAAATATTATTTTCTAAGTTACCGGTTTATTATAATATTAAATTTAATGGTAAAAAATAATGTTTCACCCATGTACCACATTTTTTGCCACTTCATGTTAGAATTTTCCGTCATTATAATTAAATTTATAATATTTACATGATTTATTTATACATATAATATAATACATAAATTAAAATTAAATATGGATATAATACAAAATGATTATTACTTATTTTTAAAGTGATATTATTAAATTTATAGATAATTATTACAATGATATTATTTTTATGAAAAATAATTATTTTTTACAGAAGTCATAGTGAATGATGAATTATTGGGTAGATTATAAAGAACAATTGTTGAATGAATTAAAACAATTATTACATAGAGAATTTATACAGAAGATGTTTCGTTTATTGATGTAAAAAATAAAGTTATTTACTTTATCATAAGTAAGATAAGATAAACAAGGTTGAACCAATGAACTACATTAAGAATCTACCTTTCTTTTGCTTCATAATTTCCATTCATTTTATTGGGCAAATATCACTGTACATTGAAACAATATGCAAAGATATTAAGACACAAATATAAAGATGACATAATTAAGATGAGTATGACGAATTTATTCAGCAAATCTACCTTCCTTTTGTTTCATAATTTCTATCTATTTTCTTTTCTTCCTATTATAGACTTCAATTAACTTGTAAAAACTCACCAAAACAATTAACTTATAAAAACCCTTCAAATCTCCTTAAAAATTTTAGGTGTATTATAGAAGTTTTATGAGCAAGGGCTATTTTTAAAAAGAAAAGTAGAAGTAACACATTTAAAAAAAAAATATTTATAATTTTTTAAATTTGGATTTTTATTAATTTTATTGCCAAATTTTTTTAAATAAATATTTATTTAAAAAGTAAAGCAATAATAATAATAATAATAAAATACTATTTTACATAATGAATTGATTTTGTGTTTGGAAAATAACATGGACGGTGGATGAGATATTTTGAAATAGAGTGTGACTGAGGAGTCTGCATAGAGCTGTGAACGTGATTTTACCAACCGAACCAAAAATCTGATCGAGTCCGCGGTCAGCATTTTGTGCTGTGCTTCTCTGTTCATTGTTCCTAACCTTCAACTTTGGCTCTCATTCTTTAATTTTTCATTTTCACTTTTCATCACTGCCCTTTGAAGCTCTGCATCCTCAAATGGCTCTTTCCGCAACACTTACGCCTCCTTCATCTCCAAAATTCAACCTTTACGCCAAAATTCGTAGACCCTTTTTCCCTCACTCCGTAACTTCCCCTAATCCCCTAAAGATTCGGGCTTCAACTACTCTGGATTATTCCAATGTCTCAACCAACGACAAATCCTCCCCTTTGAAGGTTAGAATAATTCGCCCCCTAGCTGTTAATGCCTTTATTCCATTGATACTAATTGTGTTCTCCAAATTATTGTTTTGGTTTTCTTAAATTTTTATGGATGCGTGGAAGATTATTCATTGGACATGTGGGCAAAGTGGTATGATTGTGTATAAATTTCTTAAATTTGTTGCTAAACTTTGTTTTTTTTCATCAATTTGACACTGATCAATTTAACACTTACTTCCACCCAGTTAAAATATAAAGTAGGGAACCAGACTGGTTCGTGTAGCTTTGAATGTTGTTAAGGTTTCGTGTTTTGCATGGATTTAACAAAATAGGCTAGAGTTTATCAGAACTTCAGAAGTCCATTATCTTGTTGATTCATGCAATAAACGTTCTATTTGTTTTACTTTGTTGGCTTATAAAAGCTATTGTCTTTTCAATTAGTTGAAATTTGGATTCCAGTTTAATTGTGAGAGAAAATTTCAGAGATTTATGTTAGAGTATGTAATCATTTCTTGCCTCCAACATAATGGTTTTTTCTTTATCCACTAGACTAGTAATTGGCAATGGAAATTCAAGGAAAATCTTATAAACATTTATTATGAAGAGCATGTGAAGGAGAGTCCAGAACCTTCCCAAAATATCTTGATGATGCCAACCATTTCTGATGTGAGCACTGTTGAGGAATGGAGATTAGTGGCTGGAGACATTGCCCAACGTAATGGCAATGTCAATTGGCGGGCAACTATTGTCGATTGGCCTGGACTGGGTTATTCTGATCGGCCAAAGATGGACTACAATGCCGATGTCTTGGAAAAATTTCTTGTTGATTTCATCAATTCACCCAATGGTCCAATAAAACAATCAGGTACTGGCAGCCGGGGGGATAATTCCATTTTGTAATAATTTTCACTAAAAAGTTAACATTACATTAATCTTTCAAGTTTTGAACTATATTTCTTTTAGCAACATTTTATATCGTCATAGTAAAGTTAGGTTGCAATTATTATTTATCTCTTTAGGAACTTTTGCTTATACTTAATTTCATAATTTACTTTGTTAATTTGTATATTTATGCATGATTTATAGTTAAGAAGTTTAGAGACTAAAATTAATTATATGCTTTACTGCATTGGATTATGTGTTTGAGAAATTTTCCTTTGCTATTCCTTTATTTTGCTTTTTCTAAGATATAATTTCTTACCAACTTAACAGGCTTCTAAGGCTTTTGGTTTTGTTCTTTTTTTCCCCCTTTAATGGTTGGATATGAGAATATAACTTTCAGCGCATTGGATTATGTGTTTGAGAAATTTTGATAAGCTATTCTTTTATGTTGGTTTTTGAAGATATAATTCCTTGCCTGCTTGCCAGGTTTCTAAGGCTTTTGGTTATCTTCTTCTCATTCTTTTTTGATTGGTGGGTATGAAAGATCAAGACTCAATAGAGTATTTGTTTCATTCTAGCAAAATGAGCTCTTTACACTCTGGAGCTGGGGATTCATTTTTCCATGAAGTAGATAATTTCATGTTTACCACGTTTCTTCTATTGTTTTATCTAGCATGATGTATTCGAAAATTATGGGTGCCAAGTATGTTTGTGTTTGCCCATTAATTGCCTTCTGTTTGAGTGGTTTTTTCTAGGGTGCATATTTGTTTACATAAGTAGTTGAATATGGCCTGGCTTTGTATTGATTAGTGTTTATGACTAACATAATTCATGTTAAAATAGAAAATGATCTGATAATTTTTGGAGGAGGGCATGCTGCATCAATTGTAGTCCGTGCTGCAAAAAAGGGTCTGGTGAAGCCCAAAGCTATAGCTGCCGTTGCACCAACTTGGGCTGGTCCCCTTCCAATTGTGTTTGGTCGAGATTCTAACATGGAAACAAGGTACATCTTTTCAGTGTACATCTTTTCCTTGCTGATTTCTCTTGCATTCCTTTCTTGTTTCTACTGAAAGGAAAATAAATTTAAGGCAGTGGTCTTAAACATTTCCTTACTGAAATTTAAATTAATAATTAACTTCAGGGTAAATTTCCTTGCAATTGTTGAGGCAGTAGAAGGATACAGCACTGGTTTGTTTTATATCTGTATCAAATTTGGTTCCATAAATTGTTGAGCTAATTTTTGAATCTTGAATTGAAAATGGTGTTGAATTGTATGATTCCTCAAGACAATGAAAAATACCTTAAAATGTATTGATAAATGTTGTATGGTTTTAAATGTAATGATCTTAATTTTGGAATGGAGAAAAAAAATTATATAGTACAATTTATATTGTAACCATGATTGGTGCTAGCAAAAAACAAAAACTCTCTAATACTCTCCTTCCAACACTCTTCTATTTGTTAAAATATATTGGAAACTATAAAATGATAAGTAAGGTTTATTAAATAAGAAGTGAGATTCACAATCTTACGATTTCCAACAATTTTCGGTCAATATTAGAGAGTACCCCCTCTTTTCCTTTTTATATGTTGGATTTTTTCTAAAATTTTGTTTCTATTTACTTATCAATTTTAAGTTTCAAGACAACATTAATTTGCTATGTTATCAATTATACCTTTACTTCTCACCTGACTTTTAATTAATTTACACATGACAACTAATGTACATTTATTATGAAGCAAAAATGAAAGATGGTATAATAAGGAACATCAAAATCATTATATGGGAAATAGGAAAATTAATTATGTTTCTTGTTATGTGTTTAACAACCTTAAACGACTATTATACAGGAACAAAGGTAGTATTTAAGAAGAGTGTATTGTTAGCATTTCTCTTGTAACCATAAGTTCACTTGTCAAAATTTTTCATCATAACTCATAAGTCATAACTGAGTCTCACTAGTCTCTATCAACTTATATGGAAGCTAATAAATAAAAGGACAAAACTTAGGTACAACTCCTTATGTGTGGTTGGTGTTGTTCTCTAATCCGAATTAAAGTTTTATCTCGGTAGTATGTGTAAATGTTTATTAATGAGATCAACATTAAATGCAAATACATATTAGCGAGGTAAAACTCATATTCTGATTAGAAAATAACACAACCACACCTGTATTTAAGTTTGCCCTAAATAAAAAGGACAAATCATAAGTACAATTCCTTAGGTGTGATTGATGTTGTTCTTCAATCAAAATTAAAGATTTACATGATATCATGCACATGTATTTAATACAATATTCATTAATATACATTTATACATATTATCGAGATAAATCTTCAATTTTGATTAGAGAATAACACCAACCACACCTAAAAAATTATACCTAAGTTTTGTCCAAATAAAAATATTCATAACACAGTAGTACCCAAGTAAACTCACTAGTTATATTTCTTTGTATGTTCCTACTTAATGGTAGCTCATCCCAGGAACATTGGCCCATGTTGTTTATGGACATTCAACTATAATTAAGTTTGGCATGTAATATATTGTCAAGAACAATACAATGTTCCTCTTCTTTGCTTTAGGAGCCACATAAAAGTGACTGCACAAAGCCGATATTTCATAACAATAAAAACAAAAGCAATGATATAACCAAACAAGTTTATATAGAATAGGTGACTATGTGAAGCCTGTTTTAGAAGAATAAAAATTTAGTAATGGAACAGCCACACAAGTTTCAGAGTGAAGGAGTAACTGTGTCAGGTTCCTGTTGTAGAAGAATGAAAACGAAGCAATGGAATAATCAAATAGGGAGTGTTCACAGTATTGCTTTACTATTTTTTTTTATTTATAATTTAAGCTTATACAACTTTTCATTTTTTTTAGAAATGGTGAAACAAAAGCCGCAACAACAGTAATAAAGAATGTAGAGTTGTATGATTGGTATTAGTGATATGAAGTCATACTTATTCGTACTTATATTGCATGATTCAAACTTCAAAGCCATTTGAGATTCATCACATGATATGAATTTTAGCTACCTGAATCTTATTGATTCTTGTGAATCAAATTGTAAATCCTGCTACTCTGAAAATTACGGTGTATATAACTCCTTGCTCTTGATAAGTGGGAACAGTGTGATAGTAATATGATGTGCCTCTTAAAACATCTTCCTATTTTTCACTCCACTAAATTTCCTTTGATTTCCCGTATAATTCTCATTCCCATTGATATATATATTCAAAGAGCCATGCATTCCAGGACCATGTTACCATGTTCTGCAATATAACTGACATCTTTTCTCCCTTCCTCATGAACCTGACAGGTATGGTCTTCTAAGAGGCACGTTAAAGGCCCCTGCAGTTGGCTGGATGATGTATAACATGCTTGTGAGCAACGAAAATGCAATCCAATCACAGTACAAATCACATGTATATGCCAACCCTGAGAATGTGACTCCAGGAATTGTGGAAAGCAGATACGCGTTGACAAAACGAAAAGGAGCGCGTTACTTGCCTGCCGCGTTCCTGACTGGTGAATTAGATCCTGTAACATCTCGCGAAGAATTTCTTGAACTCTTTGCAGCGTTGGAGGGGAAGACACCAGTGCTGGTTGTATCAACCAAAGGATCTCCCAAGAGGTCCAAGGCTGAGATGGAAGCTCTCAAGGGAGCCAAAGGGGTGAGCAAGTTTGTGGAAGTGCCAGGGGCTCTTCTTCCTCAAGAGGAGTATCCTGCTTTGGTAGCAGAAGAGCTTTATCAGTTCTTGCAAGAATATTTTGGCACTGTTGCATAGAATTCACATTTTCTTTTTGGCAATTTATCTATCAAGACAAACGGGCTATGTCACACTATCATTGATGTTCTGCAGGTTTCCCCCTTCTGTATGTTGATGCAGCTTCTGGAGGCACAGATATTAATTGATGGAAAAAGTTTGTGCAAGGGTGTACACACATGTTTGTGTAGTGTGATTTTATTTTACTATTATAGAAACCCTCGTGTATACGAGGATTACACTTAACAAATCATTTCCGACTTGGCTGATGACTTGAACACAACTTCTCAGATGAAAGATACTAAAAAAAGAATCAAGGTTTTCTGGTGCTTTTGCCTTTTAATTTTTAAAATAGCTGTCTTGAAAAACTCATTCTTAGAATGATTTTTGACTGTTGGCTATGCAAACATTTTTATATTGATAGTGTATTTTTTTTATTGTGCGAGAATTCAGTTAAACTTTAAAAAGTTTTATTTTTATTACTAAAGTATAAAATAAAAAAAATAAAAAAATAAAAAAAAAAAATCTCCAAATCAAATAGCACCTAAATTTCCACGCTTAGTTAATCTGAGTTTCTCTTCTTCTGAAAGGGTAAAATGAAGCCTTAGCACGAGAGATTTGTCTAAAAATGTGACACCTTCTACCCCAACGTTAATACACAATAAATGTAAACAATAATTTCTTTTTCTTTTTGAGTAAATAAAATCTTTCATAGTTTAATAACATCTTTCATGTATAAAACAATTATTTCAAATCTCATAAGGTAGAAGATTCACATTCGTAACTCATCAATCATAAAAAGTCAAATATAAGTATTAAACTCAAGAAATCATATAAAGGAGAATATATATTAATTCCAGTAAAGGTGGCAGTGCCTCCTAGTTAGGAATTAATATATCACTTTCAAATCATGTAATAAAATAGTATGACAAAGATGTACATTTTGGTCTTTTCTCAAGAACGTTCAAAATTACAAAGGAAGAGAAAATTAAAGCTTTTAAAATAATAACATCCAAAATAAGCCTAGCTATGCCCGATGTCACATCCTATCAGAGCATGCCCAACTGAAGCCTTAAGCCTCATACCAACATCCTCATGATGCTGATTACCTGCAACATAATTTAAACATATACAAAAACAACAAGGGAGTGAGAAACATCTCACTCAGTTTCAGATGCAGAAATAAAGGTTAGATAGCACACACACACACAACAAATACAAGTCATATGTAAATAATACACATAAATAATCAATATCACATATATACTCATTTATCATGCTATGATGTCATGAACTCAACTCATAAATACATGCATGTGGCGCCATAAGGAAGTTTCACATATCATCACTGGTGACCCTAAGGCACACCTGCACAACTGTCGGTGACCCTAAGGTACACCTGGTTAGCATATCATCAACTGTCGGTGACCCTAAAGTACACCTGGTTAGCATATCATCAACTGTCGGTGACCCTAAGGTACACCTGGTTAGCATATCATCAACTGTCGGTGACCCTAAGGTACACCTGGTTAGCATATCATCAACTGTCGGTGACCCTAAGGTACACCTGGTTAGCATATCATCAACTGTCGGTGACCCTAAGGTACACCTGGTTAGCATATCATCAACTGTCGGTGACCCTAAGGTACACCTTGTTAGCATCAACTGTCGGTGACCCTAAGGTACACCTTGTTAGCATCGTTGGTATGCGGCCTCAGCGGCACACCTGGAGTAATATATGCATATGATGCATGTCATACATTCATTATTTCATTAACTCAACATTTAACTTATTACAAGATTTCATCAAGTATATCATGTCATTATTTTTCATATTCTTATTATCACAGCTTGTCTCAATAGTCCATTCTTAGGTCTCATAGTCCATTCTTAGGTCTCATGTCATTTGTCCATATTTTCATGGTCATGTCATAAATACTCCTCATAAGGTCCACATAGGTATTCACAGAGATTCAGAGAGCATTCTTATTCATATTAAAACTCATTTATTATTAACATTAATTTCATACTCATTTATTACTTCAACAAATAACAAGGTAGAGTAAATAGAAAATCAAACAGAACAACGACATCTTCAATAAAGAACAAAGTAGAGAATAGAAAATCAAACAGAACAACTACACCTTCAACAAAAAACAAAGTAGAGTAAATAGAAAATCAAACAGAACAACGGCAAGGAATTGGGGGCCAATCCGACAATCATACTATCCAACAATTATCCCCACACCCCTGAGCGAGGTTTCTCACTCCCCCCTTACCTGGATAAGCGGAGTTGAAACTTGGGCAGAACCTCCTCCTCTGGATTCCCTCCTTCTTTCCCTCTCTTTCTCTCTCTTTCTCTCTCTCTCTAGAATTTTCACTTTTCACTCAGTTATAATTTTTCACCCCCCTAGTCCCTATTTATAGGTATCCTGGGGTCCCCGGAACGGCCCGTTCCGGATCCTTCGAACATAGGCAAATTTAGCAACTGGAACGACCCGTTCCAAAATCGGCACGGCCCATTTCAAAAAGCAGAACGACTCGTTTCAAAAAGCAGAACGACCCGTTCTAAAGTTCACGTTAACACTGATTGACCATAGTTGGAACGGCCCGTTTCCAACTAAGGTCTTTAGGCAATTTCATAACCTTGGAACGGCCCGTTTCCCTTTGGAAACGGCCCGTTTTGGAAATACAAAAATGAGTAATTTTCTTCTTTGGAACGGCCTGTTCCACTTTTGGAACGGTCCGTTCTGGTCCCTCAAAAACAACTTATTTTCATTATCTGGAACGGTCCGTTCCACTTTTGGAACAGCCCGTTCCAGCCTAAAAATATAATTTATAAAAATTTCATAAATAATTTTAAATTAATACAAACTTCTATAAAACCCCTTTAATTAATAAATAATAATCAACAAGAAAATTCATGGTGTTAGAAAAAACACGTAGAAATCATGTCAATGGGATCTCCACCCACGTTGTTTTCATAATTGATAGAACTGATACCAAAATAAGCTTTTATAATGTATGCGTAGGTGCTTGGTACAGAAATGTTGAGGCACATAGAGCTTAAAATTATTAAAAACACATTCCCATTATTAGTGTAGCCCTTTATAGGCCTATATATATTTAAAATATTTACCAATTTTATTGATAGCTCATTTTCATTTGTTGAGAATCTGACTAATTATTTTTAGTAGGGTCTTTTTCTAATTATAATTTTTATTCACAATACTTGAAAAACCATGCCTTATAATTTGTTTATAAACCAACAAAATTTATTATTAATTTGTAAGTATGTGCACAATGTGGGCCAAAGATTATGGCTGGACTTAGTGTAACCCGAAACTATCAAAGAAAACAGCCACCACCCAACCACAGGCCAGATCCCAACTATATAACCAAATAAATTCGAAAACATAATACAACGATATCCATGATAGTGATTAGTGATCGCACCTACTCACTAACAGCCAAATTACACTTGTAAGTATTGGGTTTATGATGTCAAATTGTTGACTAATCCACCAAAAACAGGATCCACCCTTCACATTGACATTGACATTAGAGTCAAAAGGCGATGGCTAACGTATTATTTTCTTTTATGGATCCTACACCATTACAGAAAACATGACCCACTACCATAAGTACAAGTTTGTCTGCATTGTGATGGCAGAATTAAATTCTACAAACCTGTTTTATAATCGACTTCATGCCTCCAATATATTAAGCCCTGAAATTAAATATCATGATTAACTAAAGATAAAACGTTTTGCTAGTTTCGAAGTTTCCTATATAACTCATCCTCAAAATGAATAATTGAAACAGCAGTTCTTCCTTTCTACATAGTTAATCGAATTTTTGTTCACAATAGTTATTTCAATTTTTTTTCTGGCTATAATATAAGAGATCTAAAACTTGATGCCGACAACAGAGTTGACCAAAGTGCTGAGAAATTTGGTTTAAGGGGTCAAGACTTTTTTAATACTCTAACATTGTAAATAATTCATTATCATTTATTTTTTTTTTTATCTTTTTTTTTATCGCATTACATATAATTTTAATTTTTTTTTCTAAATGTAAATTAACATGATAACTTTTATCAATATTAACTTATAATTTTTTTTTATAAATCTTAGGGGGTAAAAATTACATTTTTAAAAAAATTGGAGGTCCTCCCCTCCTTCTGTCCCTAGCAAAATGATGACAAAGCTGCAAACATTGTTTCATATAAAGGTTAATAAGACAATAAATTTAAGGGTAAAATATGTTTTTAATCTCTCAAAATATATTTTGAAATGTTAGTTTTAATTTCTATAAAAATTTAAAATGTTATTTGTCTCTACATTTATTTAAAAACACACATTTTTAGTTCTGACCCATGAGGAACTAAGTATACTACTTTTAATAAATATAAAGATTAAAACCATTCTAAAATATTTAAAGAGATTAAAAATTTATTTTATCCTTACCAAGTAAATAAAATTTGGAGTAAACTTCATAACACCTATTTTTGTTGATACATATGGAAAGGGGAGTAGAACGAATTTATGCTGGGAAGGATCTATTTTTTACCTTCCCTATCTTGGAGGAGATTAGGCTCTATGTTTGGTGGAATAAAAATGTCCTATGATTAATAGGTATGCAATCTTCTGTAAAACATTTTACCCCCCAAAAAAACTTCTATAAAAATGTGCTACCTAGAATATCTTATGATTAGAGATTTTGTAATTCGTACCAATATTTAAGAAAAGCATTTACTACATATCAAAGACTAGTTTTCAAATTTGGGGGTTCCGAGCTGTAATACTTAAGGGTGATGAGAAACGCGACTTCTCAACTACCTAAAACATTTTAATTTATTTATTTTTCCCATTTTCTTTGGAGCAAAGCGAATAGGTTATTTATTATTGTCAATATTTTTGCCATTTGGAGGATTCTTTAGTACCCTCAACCATATTTGCCCCATTAATTAGTTGTACTGCTATAGGCTATAGAGTATTTTGATTTTTATTCTCACCATTATAAGGAAAATAAGTACTGTTCTTATATACGTGATGAAGATGAGTAAAATATAAAATTAAATAATGAACAAATACATCATCTGTATGTCAATATATAAAATAGATATTTATTTATAAACTAATCTTTTAACATGTGTAATGTACATGTATATAATTAAAATTAATAATAAA